ATTTGACTTTTTTTTTACATTGCTGCTACCCGTCTCGGAGACTGATACATATATAGCGCAGTGGTTCAGCAACACACTGTCATTTATAGACCGTTATCGCCCGCGCCGCGATCCCAGAGCCTCTGTGCATACCCTGCGACGGCCTTTTATCAGTTGCGGAGCGCCGCTCGCGTGTACAATTGCACTTGGCCGTCTCGCGGTGGAAATGACTAGGGACAATTTAACATCCGGGCCACCTGATCCAACACTTCAGAATCCCAGGTTGCCCAAGTATCTTCGCCTTCCAAAAAACAAATAGGAAGTTTTGGGGTGGCCTCCTTCCTTCTGGGCCAGCGTCGTACGACGACAACGTACGATGGTGGCCTACGACGACGCCATATGACGATGCCCTATCATGACGACCTACAACGAGGACATACGACGACGACCTATGACGACACTCTATGAGAACGACCTATGCCACGACAACTTACGACAACGAGTTACGACGACGACCTTCAACGACTACTTATGACAACGGTCCACGATGACTCCGTGCGACAACGACCGACGACGACGCCTTACGAGAACGGCATATGGCGATGATCTACGACGACAACTTACGAAGGCGACGACATGCGGCGACCCTACCACAGCTGCGTACGACCACGCCCTACGACAAAGATTACGAAAACGGCTTAAGACAACTTACGACGACGACCTGCGACGATAACTTACGATGGCGAACAACGACAACAATGAAGACGATTATGAGGGCACCCGACGATAACCACTACTGAGGGCGGACAACGAGAGGCACGAATTTCACGCGACGATCCCCACTAGAATTAAATGCCTGGAGAACATGAGACCACAATCGAGACTAAGGATGGCATAACATTTTGATACTGGGTGCATTTCCTCATTATTTTAAATGTATTTTGGTAAGCAGAAGGTCGCTGGTTACCAAAATGCATAAGGGGCTAATACCGCGTGCGTGGCAGTCAAGCGGACCAACGAGCTTTGAATCCCTCTTGACCTGGTTCTTTTTATTCCAGTAGCTTTATGGGCCCAACCACGCTCAAGGTAGCGAAATCAAGGCTATAGGAAACGGCCGTGGCTGTAGTGCCGGTGGCTAAAGCGATGGTGGCTGAAGCGCGCGTGGCTCAAGTGCCCTCTTAGTTTTCCTCAGAACTAGTGGACTTACTTCGCAGCTGTAAACGCCATCCCTTCCAGAGTGTCCAAAAGTGAAATTTGAACCATCATGAAACTGCACTCACGGTCGCCGACATCTTTCTAGTATTACTTCTGTCATCCTTTTCTTTCCCCCCTTCCCATACAAAGTAGCCCGCTAGGACAACTGTTCCAGAGAAACGTCTCCGTCCTTGCATCATCTTTTTTTCAGTTACTCAATCACTTAATATTTTGGTTTATCTGTGACATTGAAAAAAAAAAGTGTTTTCTGCTATCGCGGTTTGTTTTGAACCATACACTTTTTCTTAAATTTATAGTGGGCTGTATACTACATGTGAGGTTGTCCCATCCTATGTTACCATCAATGATCTGCTCTCGCAGCCATAAAAACATTAGGCGGAGCCTAGAACGTTCAGTTGATCTACAGGGGCGCCATACAAGTATGGAATTGATAAAAGGTTCAATAAAAGTCTAGAATGGATTAGGGCTCAGTCCAACAGCTGTAAAGGAATTCGCGCCTTGCGAAAACGTCTGCATGCCTCTTCGCATTGTTCCTGATTTTGATTTTCGACAGCTGCGTGTAAGTAACAAATAAAAATATGAAGGCGATGAGGCTGCACTGAATAAAGTTGCTCTTCCCTTGCAGCTGGTCACTGACGTCGTCTTAGAGGTCAAAGCTCTAGAAAAATGCTATCGCAAATCATAGACAACCAACAATAGTGATTTCTGCACCCAATTAGTTTTGTCTGTCGGCCTCATCTTTAATTTTGTTGGGGCCCTTTTTAGCGTTGTTTTTTTTTTTACAACTGTATTGTTGTTATTTCCTTAATGTGACGGGGAAAACCACGACAAAAGTGAATCTTCGCATTTGGCGTACAAACCCATTTGCTTTGTCAAGCTGATTGAACAGTTCTTTACTCAACCGGCACAGCACTTACATGGTAAATTAAGTTATTTTTTTATTATTTCTGGTTGCTGGATGTTTGGTGTTTTCCCAAGGTGCCCGCGAGATCACTTGCGAGTATTATCGGAGTTTTTCTCTGCATTAGAGATCTGCAAACGTTTTAACAAGGGGGCCTGTTTGGGGATCTGTTGCAGTCTCGAGGCCGGAAGCTAGGTAAGACAGCATAAACGAAGAAATACTAAATAAACAAGCTTAGAAATGCATTTAAATACAAAAATATAGACTAGAGTGAGATTTGAAAATAAGATGCATGCGGGACAAATACATGTGCTTTGTTTTTAAGTGCAATATGTGTCCTCTGAGTGTCTGCCGAGGCATTGATTGTTACGAGGCGAAGTCGAGAGCTCACGCAGTTCTCGTGTCCAATCTATGAGTCTCGCTGGATTGTCGGCAGGCGGGTGGTTTCGATCCCACAATTACGGCATCAAACATTTCGAAGGCAAGACTGAAAGAGATAGTCCCTGTGAGGATGTGACTTAGTGCGCAAAAGATGAAGGGTAGGTCAACCCATGGATCGGCTTGGAGGGACAAGGGAAGACGACGAAGGAGGGGAAGAGATGGGGAGCGCGTGCGCGGAGAGCGTTCGGAGGACTGGCCGGGGGAACGTGCTGGGTCCGAAAGACACCATCGGCCAGAGCAATCGGCTGCTCGCTCTTGCTATCTGACAAGCAGCCTTGTCCCAGCGAGGGCAGCGCAAAGAAATCTACGCTGCCCGGTTTCCTACCGCGAGAGCACATGGTGCGGTGACTCTTGGGTCATCGACGGAAGCCAACCGCTCCCGCTCCTGACTGCCAGCCACAACCGTGGCCCGACAACGACAGCTCCAGACACGAGACCCGCTGTTGCGCATGGTTGTTCCAAGACATGGGGACTGTTGCGTTCCCCTTTCTTTCATTTCTTTAACTAAGTTTTCTTTTTTTATTTCAGCATAAGTATACGAACTCTTGATTTCTTTTGTAAATACATGTTTTAAGAAAAACGATGGCCATGAGAATCTTGTCTATATTTAACCCTAAAAAACCTTGCTACAGTCCCCTTTTAGCCTCGCAATTTCACCGCGACAAAGAAGCATCTGAATCAGTGGCGGTCTGTGCCAGTATACTTGGGACGTATTAGGACCAGTACGCCTCTGCAAAGTCATGAACCTTCCACCCGATATAGTTTTATGACCCCTTGAATTGTGAAAGTGAGTATCAAATTAGTGTTGTTGTTTTTTCGTGGCAAACAAACCGAGGGCATCTGGCACACTCTAGCGGAGGACAAATAATTAAGTTGGATTAATGGGGATCTTTTGCCGTGCCACCAAAATCTCTGTTGCACGGCGCCTCCTCCGCCTTGGTAACGCGAAACTGAGGATAACAAGCATATGTTTCAAAACCACAGCTGGCCCGCAGACGTAGCACACCCTTGTCTGACGTAGTCATCGTTAGCTCTCGGCTAAAGGCCCGTTCACACTCTTGCGACTGCTTGCGACCTCTTAAACCTGGGTTCCTTAAAACTTCTTAAACCAGAAAACACACTGGCGCCATCTATTGGGAAGCAGTGTAAACTCGGCGGTCCGGCATATTTTTTTTTATTTCTCGAGCAATATCCTTTCTTTTTTGGCTCGAAAAACTTTTGTCAATGTTATAAACGAGCCTTTCTATGGGTATTACGCACATTTGACCTCGGAAATCCCGCAAAACCTTCGCTTTTGTGAAATGCAGCTCGAGGGTCACCGCATAGATGGCGCCACAATGTCAGTGTGTTCCCTCATTCTAGAAACATTTAAAGGGCAACTCCGCTTCTTTTTCAGTAGTGCAAAACTATACAGTTCTCTTTGTTATCATCTACAAAACCCCCATGGCAAATATTACGACGGAATTCCGCCTAGAAGTTCATTAAAATCGCTGTCAAAGTTTGACAAGCACGAATCCGCTGGTTTTGGATGAGACGTGCGGGCCAGACAACACTGCCCGGCTGCATTTCCGCTTCCTCCAAATTCCTTCTCCCGGCACGTCCGCGACGTCATCAAACATGTACAGCTTCTTTTTGTTTTTTCAATTTTGTTTTCTTTCCCGGGGAGAGCACGGGTGGCGCCAGCGCCGTGAAAGACGTGAGTGACGCGCTCGGCCGGCCCGGCGCTCGACTATTGATACTACTGATAAGCCGATCGCCTCGTTGAGCGCGGCTTGTGTTACATCGCATACTTTTGAACACCAAGTAAAAGGAGGAGAGGGAAGCTGCTTTTGTAAGAATTTTGAGTGACAGGTTAATCTTCTATAATCTTCTGGGAGGAGAATAGCGACGCCTGTGCTAATCCAGGAGGCACAAAGGAGGATCCTGATAAGAGGGGAGCTCCTTCTTCCCCTTGTGTATCACGTGGGTGTACATGCTTAGTGATGCCGAATATACAATGTTGTCCGGCTTTGCCACCGTTTCGGTTTCAGTTTGGGATCATGGCTAGAGTAAAATTACACGAAAAATAATTTATTTTTCGCGAAACAAAAGATTGGGGATTGTTTTTGAGTGCTTCAAAAAGCAAAATCGGCCACTATCTCAAACATTTTGAAATTAAGCGGAGTTGCCCTTTAAGAAGTTGTAAGAAATCTCGTCTCTCTCAGTCGTACTCGGTCGCAAGAGTGTGAACGGGCCTTAAAATGTTCTATTCTGCTGTGTTCTATTGTGTCACAGATCAGCGTAAGCAGACAAAAAGCGCTCTTCAAGTTCAAAGTTTTCTTCGTTTCTTTTTTATACGTCATTCGTGTTTGTTTGATTTCCCCCCTGTGAAATCCTTATGCTATATAAGACAGGAAAGAAATGGAATAAGAACGCTGATTAGGACATATACGAACCTCTGAATCGCCGACAAAAAAATTCCAACATGTTCGTAGTGGTCCTTTTCATACCGGTTGTAACCGGCAACGTCTTTGCGGAAAGCATCTCTAAGCGAGTTCCGGAACTAACGGAAAGAAGCGGGTTTACAAAACTCTACACGATATTTGACCCCTGCAACTTGAAAAAACGTGAGACAACTTTTTTCATCGATCTAATTGTAGAATGAACTATGTTTGACGAATGAGAATCTCTACAGTTGGTTATGACGACACATCCGGCGTAACTTAAGTACACTGGGTGACACTGTTATCACGACCACGAGATCGGTGATCCTGCAAAGATTTTATTTTAAAAGACTATTTTCAGGCACCAAAAGGTACCACTTAAGGCCCGTTGAAGCCCTTGCCTTTGCTTGGGACCGAGTTCTTGCAACCTCTTACGACGAGGGAACCGAGGGAACAGTGGGGAGCCTGTGTTGAAGAGAGGGTCCATCTCAGACCGTGGGGAGCGTTTGCATTGTAATGGCGGACGCCTTTTGCGAAGACTGGTCCCAAGCGCGCATGCGCGGGGCTCTCGCGTGACCAGGAAGAAAGCAGGTTGGAAGGCGGAGCCGTTTGTGGACGATCAACGTTTTCGGGAACTCCTCGCAGCTCGTATTGCAAACGCAACCCGTAAACCACGTTACCTCGACTGAGCCGTTTCGAAGCTCTATGTAGCCCAGGCTCTCTAGAGAGCACACTGTCTCGATGGCGCCACCTATGAGATGAAAATAGAACCGTTTTTCACAAAAGTGAAGGTTTTGCGATATTTTCCAGATCAAATTACGCACTATCTTTGATACATGGTCGTTCATAACATTATCAAAGGATTTTCGAGCTAAAAGAGTATGATGCGCGAAAGAAAGATTAAATATACGTAAATACAAAGCGTTCCACGCCTTCCCATAGGGCCGCAAGTGTGTTATCTCGTCGTAGGAAATTTTAGGGTGTTTTAAGGCAACCGGTCCTAGGCAATCACAAGTGTGGGAACCAGACTTGTTAGATTTCTAAGTGAACAGTACTCCCAAGCCGCACGGCAATTCCTGTCCAATGTTGTGCAAGGGACGCCCGAAAATTGGTCTATACATGGGCCAAATGTTCAGTTTTGCACCACAGCCCGGTTTCCGACAGATATTGGTGTACCGTCTTTTCGCGACCGGCCTAATATCGGCGCCATATCATGCGGGTACTGGACGAATCGGACTGCCGCCGAATATTGGCAGGACATTGCGTACAGCTCACACAGGAAGAATAAAAACACAGAAATAGGCGAGGGACAGACACTCACAGTTCTTTCATTTCTCTTTTTTTTTTTATTCTTTATGTGTGAGCTGTAGTTTATCTAACGCTCTCTGCTACCTGTACCTGACATTGCATATGTATGTTATGTATCGGTCGTTACATATCATATGAAGCGCATACACAGACAAACGGAATCGTTTTCGATCGCTCCCTGAATTATATTACACCTTTGTCTTTGCAGCTGATTCTCGACACATTTAGCAGAGATACTTCTTTGTGCAACGGAAAACGATCTAATAAATACGTTTACGCTATTGGGATGCAAAGCAAAACTCATAATTACAATACGGAGGACCGTGGAGGTTCAGAGAGAAGCACGATTACTATCAGAAGGGTGCTTGCAGAGTATTTAAGAAAAGAAACACCGATCTTGAGTAATATTTTCTATATGTATAAGCCGACTCTGGCAGCACAGGAAGCGTAAACAAAAAGTCGAGAATGAAGAAGGTCGCCCAACATTCAATACAATCTCTCGATTGTTTTGAATGTTGGGCACTTGACAATCGACGCACTTCGACAAAGCAGTTCTTTGTCGAAGTGCGTCCGCCAAACACAGCACAATAATAGACCTATCTTACCAGCCAGTTTGACTACTCCACTGCTGCCGCAATACATCGAGGGAACTTCAGTTTTTTCTGCACGTGCAATGACCATGCTGGAGTTCTTCCCTGGTGGAGCAAGAGACGGCACGAACCCTCGCATGTACGGCCGTCTGCCTCCCATGGACTCAAGGTATGGTGGCGTCACGCATGCGGCAAACGCTCAGTGAGATCGGTCTATTGCCTGGACTACAAAGAAGAAAACCACCGACACCGAAAAACGTGCATAATTCCTTGGGTACTAGTGGTTTGGTGCAGTTTGCTTTCACCTGAGGAGAGAAAGTTGTAAAGCGTAATGGTATTTTATCGGGAGCACCTATTTGGAAGAGAGGAAATATAAAATCGTGAAACTAACTCGGGCTTGACGTTCAAATATGGCATGAAATAAATTTTTGTTTACGAAGGAAAACCAGCAACATCCCACCACGACTGACAGTCGCGGCACGACTGACCGGGGAAAACGCTTAGCGCCTCTAGGACTAAGCATGAATCACGCTTAATCCTAGAGTCCCGGCGTGATTCACGCTTAGCCCCTCTAGGACTAAGCGTGAATCACGCCGGTGCATCGGAACTAGTTATGGGACGAACTATTTTTTAGAGCGCAGCTCTTAGGGGCCCGTTCCCGGTTTGAGCGGCGTCGGCGTCGCCGTCGGCGTCGCCGTCGCCGTCGGCGTCGCCGTTGGCGTCGGCGTAACCAAGGTCATCCCAAGGTCACGTGACCCCCAAGGTCACGTGACCCCCAAGAACACGTGACCCCTCCAGGTCACGTGACCCCTCCCAAGGTCATCTCAAGGTCACGTGACCCCCAAGGTCACGTGACCCTCGAGGTCACGTGACCCCTCCCAAGGTCATCTCAAGGTCACGTGACCCTTTGAAGGCCACGTGACTCCCAAGGTCACGTGACCCCCAAGTCACGTGACCCCTCTGAAGGCCACGTGACCCCTCTGAGGTCACGTGACCACCGAGGTCACGTGACCCCCAAGGTCACGTGACCCCTCCCAAGGTCCTCAAGGTCACGTGACCCCAAGGTGACCCCCACGTGACCCCCCAGGTCACGTGACCCCCCCCCCCCCCCCCGAGGTCACCCCCTCGAGGTCACGTGACCACCCCCAGGGTCACGTGACCCCCCCCCCCCCGAGGTCACGTGACCTCCCCGATGACGTCATCGTCACTGATGACGTCACCGGCATCCGCATCGTCATCGTCATCATCACTGATGACGTCATCAGTGACGTCACTGATGACGTCACCGGCATCCGCATCGTCATCGTCATCATCACGGATGACGTCATCAGTGACGTCACTGATGACATCTTCGGCATCGTCACGTGACCCCCCAAGGTCACGTGACCCCCCCAGTTCACTTCACACCCCAGTACCCTTCCCTCCTCCTCCTCAAGAGCTGCGCTCTAATTCGGTGTTACAGGGAGTTGTAAACGGCTTTCACTTTTTTAACAGAGTTTCGGACCCGAATTTGGAGATTTGGGAAAGTTCGAATGATTGACTGAATCGTCTAGCGATTCGGACGGTTCGGATGGATTCGGAACGTTGACAGACTTGCACGCCACCACGCCCTTCAAAAGAAGATATGAATCCTTTGCTCACTCAAAGATATTTATTATACTTTTATCATAGACGACACATTAAGCATCCATATTAAGTTCAAAATCCCCATCATAGGAAATATTGAAATGAAGGAAATAAGTACTCACTCAATCCTAATTCCTGACGAAAATGTTGGGGCGCTAGCTAAGCCTTACTCGTATGCGTCCCCGAAGCGCAGGGACCCCGAGAATCGCGCTCGGTGCCAACGGCGGAGATGGAAGCTTGTAGGTACGACGCACCATGTGCACGAAACAAAATGACTGACTAGGCTGTTTTTTTTTTTTTCTTGTTTTTTTCGTGCCAAACAAACTAGGGGCATCTGACACGCTCTAGCGGAGGACAAATAATTAATTTACACTAATCGGGATCTTTTGCCGTAGAACCAAAATTTCTGTTACATGGCGCCTTCTCCGCAACGAGCCTTCATCAGACGAAACTGAGTATAACATGTATGTTTCAAAACCACAGCTGGCCCGCAGAAGTAGCAGTGCCTTGTCTAACGTAGTCATCGTTAGCTCTCGGCTAAAATGTTCTATTGTGTCATAGATCAGCGTACACAGACAAAAAGTGGTCTTCCAGCTCAAAGTTTTGTTCTTTTTTGTATTTTCCTCGTGCTTATTTGATTTATTCCCTGTGAAATCCTCCTGATATATAAGACGGGAAAAAAGTGGGAAAAGAACGTTCACTACAACTTATGCGAACCTCTGAGCCGCCGGCAAAAAATTCCAACATGTTCGTAGTGGTCCTTTTCATACCGGTTGTAGCCGGGAACGTCTTTGCGGAAAGCATCTCCAAGCGAGTTCCTGTACTAACGGAAAGAAGCGGGTTTACAAAACCCTACACGATATTTCATCCCTGCAACTTGAACAAACGTGAGACAACTTTTTCCATCAAACTAATGGTAGAATGAACTGTGCTTAACTAATGAGAATCTCTAAGCTGGTTATGGCGACATATTCGGCGCACTGCAAGTACACCGGACGACACTGTCATCACGACCACGAGATCGATGACCATGTTAGGATTTTATTTTGAAAGACTATTTTCAGGCACCAAAAGGTACCACTTAAAGGGAAGATGGGGCACTTCTACATTTGAAAAAAAACGCATGAATTGCGTTCATTTGGCCTTTAGAATAACAGATATCAAAATTATATTTCAATGCGACGCGTCGGAGAGCCACAAGAGCAATTTCAAAATAGGGCTGAAGCCCCGCCCCCCTAGCCTTGGGCAGCCAAAAGAGCCGTCGATGACGTCACGGACAGCGACTGTCTTTCGCGTTTTTCTCGCGTTTACCAATACTTACGCAGCAAATGGTTTGGGTATTCGGGTTCACGGGGTAAAAATACACTAGAATTCACTTCTAACTCATTTTTTCCAAGAAGCTCCGTAGCTTCCCTTTAAGGCCCGTTGAAGCCCTTGCCTTTGCTTAGGTCCGAGTTCTTGCAATCTCTTACGACGAGGGGACCGAGAGAACTTTAGGGAGCCTGTATTGAAGAGAGGGTCCATCTCGGACCTTGGGGAGCGTTTGCAATGTAATGGCGGACGCCTCCTGCGGAGATTGGTCCCAAGTGCGCATGAGCGGGGCTCTCGCGTGGCGAGGAAGAAAGCAGGTTGGAAGGACGATGCGTTTGTAGACTACCAACGCTTTCGGGAACTCCTCGCAGCTCGTCTTGCAAACCACGTGACCCCGGTTCAGCAGTTAGAAACTCTCTGTAATCGAGGCTCCCTAGAGAATACACTGGCACGCTAGCGCCATCTATGTGTTGAAACTAGCATTGCTTTTTACTACCGCGCAGGGTGTAGGGTATTCGCCAGATCAAATTACGCACTATCAATGAGAACTAGTCGTTCATCACAATGTCAAAAGATTTACGAGCCATAAACGTATGATGCGCGGAAGATATAGTACAGCATTTAGATTTTAAGAGAAACACAGAACATTCGACGATCACGTGTTCGCCCTAACATATGATTCCCGCTATCCACTTGAGGTATATATAATGCTCGAGTCGCTATTCTTCTAACATATCCAATGCAACTTTGGCTGTTTCATAAGAGCAAATGAGCTCGTAACATTGGCTCTGTCCGCCCAGAATTTATTTGTTTTAAGTGACAGCCAGATCAGTACCCGAGCAAAAAAATTACGCATCAGTGTGTGCGTCTCCACGTCTGCATTCATCAATAGCTCTGATAGACGACGGTCACTCGATTCTGGTTCCTGCTCTGCTAGAGGCGGCTTGCACAGTGCCTTTTTCTTAATGGGAAACGAAGATGCTCAAAGAGGCCCCAGAGTGTGGTATTGAGCCGAGTGGCGCTGCATATGGGGTATCTACACGAAGGAGAAATCCGCCACTTTGCTCCGCGGAGCGCGCATCACGTGAGACATACGTCATCCCTTTTTGACGCCTCGCGGCGCCGTTCTCCTCCGGCGTGGCGGAGGCGCAGAGGCTTCGTACTGTTAGCACGAAAGCTCCGCAGGTGGGCGGCGGAGCCGAGGGCGGAGTTTCCCGGGTTGTTGACGTCACGACATCCGTCCGCGAAGTTCTCCTTCGTGTGGATACTCCTATAGCGGTCACAGTGGCTGGCGGCGAACGAGCGACAGCGGAGCGAGTCCCGACCAACGCAAAAGCATTACTAGTGGCTGCTGTTTCACGCCCCCAGTAACAAGCTCAGGAAACTCGACTAGGGCTCTAAGTTGGACACTAGGCGACAAGTCCGGTGAGACCTCCGACCGCCGTGATTGGCTAGCGCCGCGCGGTTCTCCTTGGCGTTGGCCAATCACAGTGGTCAGAGATCTCGCTCACTTCCTCGCCGAGTGCGCAACTTAGAACCCCTAGGTGCGTCTTTCTGCGAACCTCCTGATGAAGTGACAGGCCGTAGTGAAGCGGCAGTGATGAAGCAGCCGTAGTTAGGTAGTGAATAGACAGGCCTTGAACTTTTAGAGCGCAGCTTCTATAGGCGCGTTTCCGGGTTGTTCGGCGCCAGTGTCGTCGTCGGCGTCGACGTCGGCATAACCGCGCACGTTGCATTATGGGACGTTTCCCCGCTAAAAATAGCGGGGAAATTGTCTCGTTAAATTTAGCGGGGAAACTGACGTTACGTGATCTCAACACCAATTTAGTTTCCCCGTTAACTTTAGCGGGGAAAATGACGTCACGACTACGTGTCAAGTCACCCATGAACAAATTAAGCGGCAGGAGGAGAGGAGGAGAGGAGGAAAGGAAGAGGAGGAGAGGAGGAGGAGGATGGAAGGAGAGGATGGTACGGAGGAGGATGAGCGGCATACCATCCCCTCCGTACCCTGCTCCTCCTCCTCGAGAGGTGCGCTCTAGTTCCGCATTACAGATATTCGTAAACGTCTTTCATTTTTGTTCCACCGATCTTTGATCTTTTCAACCGAAAATTAGATAAAGGGCCACTGAGTACCGAGCATTACTATATTTTATGGTGGCAAACGACTTACAATTATTCCTGGATTGCCCTAAATATCTTAAGCCTGAAAATCGCGTGTTTGTAGAAAGAAAAATATTTTTATAACGCCCGATTTAAAAGTTTAGCTTGAATACCGTATATAATCTGTGGCGAAATGGTGCACTCCTTGCATTTTTGAATGAGTTTAAACAGAAAGTGTTTAACTTTCCCTCTTATCGACCACGGCAATCAAGGACGCCAGCATCTGCCAACCTATCAATCAGCGCCTACTTTGCTGTGCGTTTGCCACGGGACCTTTCACACAGTACTGACGAAGTTCCCTTTCAGTTCCTTTTTTTTTTTTAGCAGTCTTATGCTTAATGGGTCTAATTGTTTTTTTTAGTAAGGTAAAAGAGAAGATGACGTGTTGCAGACTTTTGTGAGAAACGCGTATGATATGCCTAACTTCTTCAATTCTCGACCAAACGCTCTTCCTAAATCCTAAATTTTACCAGACATGAAAAAAAAAAAAAACCGTCCGAGCTTTAGCCGATTTTCTTATCGTCGTTATTCCTCTCAATGCAATCAGAACACACGCTCTTAGATCTATGAGTTGGCAAATCTTCCCAAAATGGCGTCGTTCGATAACGGTCGTTCTCTGTTGCCCGTACGCGAGATGGTCAGATATATACCGTTCCTAGCGATACCGCTCCAATGTGCGACGGACAAGGACTGTTTTGATCGACGCTCTATTTGCGCGAACGTTAAGTTCACAATAAAAACCGCAGTAGAATCACATTCCACCACACGTAATGTGCATTCGACTTTTCATCGTTTCCGTCGCCAATGTCCACATGGCGGGCTGAACAGGCACAGCCCCTTTTTTTGCAACGTTGGTAAGCAAGGTTCGTTTTACGCTTCTTCGTTTGCAGCTGGCAAACGAGCAGTGAGCTGTTCCCAGTTAAAAAGACTTGGAAATGACGTGACCAGTGAATATTTGATCAATCCCTACCGTGAATTCAAGGTGAGGTGTGACATGGAGACCAATGGCGGCGGGTGGACTGTAAGTGTTACCATTTACTTGAAGTTTCCATGTTCGCTGCGAAGACAGAACGTATTTTTGTTCTTCATATTAAGAAAAACATTATTAATGGGCCAGTGCAACAATTTCGACATCGAAAGAACCTTTAGCGCGTTATTTTTATTTTGTTTATTATTTATTTACTTTTCTGACCGAGGCATTACAGAGTGGAGTAGATTAAAGCGATAACAACAAAATTAAACGCATTGAAATGATTACACATATTGATTACCGCTTGAAGTTTTGAAGAAGTCGGTGTCGGTGGTCGGAGTGATGTAGGCGGTAAGGGTGTCCTAGTCGGTGCAAGTCTTCTGGGTGAAAGAACTAAATTGCCAATTTGTGAGGATGCAGTGGTCGCCGAGCTTGAACCTTGTCCTAGCAAATTTGAAACAAAATAATTCGCTTCACCATAGAATAGTTCCTAAATTTCACTAAACCTGAAAGAAAGAAAAAAAAAACTGAGTACTTTACGCACCACAGACGTGAAGGCCACCATGGGAACCACCTCAAGAGGTATACAGTGCAGTAAATGATCAGCCTGTTCCCTGATCTGCTCACTTTAATCAATCTTGTCTTCCATTTAGTTGTCGTCGAAACGCTCTGTGCCAACCGACTTTAGAAATAAGTTTGATACAGTAGGCCATCCAATAGATTGGAGGTCGTCACATTGAAGACCCTGGTCGGCTACGTCTGTGACATTTTCAATGTCCCCAATCTTTATGTTAAATACTTTTCCTCTCTAGTAAATTCCAGTGTTCAGGTATCAACTAATACTGTCCCACGTCTTTTATACTTTCAACCCTGTGTCTGTTTTTGAATTGACATCTGATGATGTAGTCTCGGTCATAAAAATATTACTCCGAGAAAGTTTTGAGGGGAAGATCGGATTCGCCCCTTTATTGTGACAGGGTGCCTTGATATACGGGACTTGTTTGTGGTATGGTGCTTCTCTAGAAGGCGCTTAACTTTGTTCTTGATTCTTCTCTCTTACAAAGCCGAATTTCATTTCATGTTCTCCGACGAAAAAATATACTGCCGATCTTTCTGAACTCTTTTTACCTAAAACCTGGCCCACCATTGACACGGATGAAGTGGAAAACTTCACTAGTTATTTTGTGGAGTTTGAAAAGAGTGTATTACAAATTATTAGACGCTGGTAATTTCTTTATATTTCGCCTCGTGTACTATAATAATGAAAGTTTATAGTTCGGTTAATTAAAACACCCGACCCTATGCGCTATGAAGCTTGCACAGGTACTAATGTGATGGTTTCCGCTAATTGTCAAGCAAGTTGCGTTATGTCCTCGCGACTACCACGACTTGAACTTTATCAATAAAGGATGCACAGCGCAATGTCAGTTAAGGCTCTCTACAGGCAAAATAAAAATTGCATAAAACGCGGTCATCATAAGCCTATTTGCACCCCCCCCCCCCCCCTTGACTAAAGAACGTAGAAAACTAGAAACAGCGAAACAAAACAGTATCACCAAGGAAAAGAACCCTGCCAATAAACAAACCAACAGATGCATTAAAAAAAAAGTATTCCAAAAGATGCAGAAATGAAAATATGCAGCAAACTGCTTTATTCAGAAAAGTGAAAAAATAAAGGCGCATTTTAGAAAGGCGAATATAAGAGCATCGTGCGCGGAAATGGCGCGCATAGTAAGACCCGTCTCAAAACGCATAGGTGAGTAGAAACTTGTGCGAGATAAACAAATGGCAAAATGCTCGGTTTTCTGCCGTTGAAGATTTCTAGCCTGCACAATAGCTTACAATTTCTGCAATGGATTCATCCCAAACCCTCCAAGGCCCGGGAGGCCTCGGAAATTTTGGGGAGATTGAGATCGGGGGCCGCCGGGGGTTCCTTGTGAGGGGAGGGGGGGGGGGGGGCAAATATTTAAGCAAATACTAAAACAACGACAAGAATAATGCAATTTGGTGGGACCCCCCCCCCCTCACCAAGACCGCCCTTGCCAGACGGCTTCACCGTGTCTACGTGCTTCTCCGTAACAGGATGGAGAAAAGCGCGTACCTTGAGGAGTAGAACTTAAAATTACATCTCAAGGAGCGTAAAGAGTCTGGGAGAATGCTTCACTTCGCGCGTACTTTTTAATCGACTTCCAGGTAATTCAACGTCGGGGCGGATCTGAAACATTCGAAGAGAATCTTTTCGAGCGAACCGAAAAAGAATACCAGGATGGATTTGGAGCTGGCGCGACTTCATACTGGATAGGCAAGTACAAATATATGCATCCTCGTGCCTTTACTTTCTAGCGAAGGCAACGAGCAAATTGTGGAGAAAAAAAAATGCCTGGAATTCTGGCAAACCCGTGTGAACGGAAACAACGTTCCCAGGTGTCAAGGTGTCACGTGAGACCATGGCTTTACGTAACGTGGTAACTTCACGTGTTGCGTTTTACTGCTCTTTTCTGTGCGAAAAGCTAAACCTTCGTCACGTCACATCCGTAAGCGTTACATATCTCTACAATTGGGGTATCTTCACGGGGGAGCTGCTTCGGGGAGGGGTGTCCCTGACGTCAGCGTTTGGCAGAACTAGCGGGACTCCCTCCCCGGCTCCAGCATACGCGAGAGGAATGTCAAGGCCCGTTCATACACTTGCGACTCCTTAGAACCTTTTAATATCTCTTACGACGAGAGAACACGCTGGCGCCATCTATGTGGTGACTCTGGAACTGCATTTCATTAGAGAGAAAGTTCTGCGGGGTTTCCGAGGTCAAATGTGCGTACTACCAATGCGAAATGGTGGTTTATAACGTTGACAGAAGTTTTTTGAGCCGAGAAAGAAAAGATGATGCGCGAGAGAAATAGAAAATATACGGGCGCCAGTGTATCCTCTCGTCGTAAAAGATCATAAGAGGTTCCAAGGCACTCGGTCTTAAGAAGTCGCAAGTGTGTGAACGGGCCTTCAGTGTTATTAGCAGACGAACTTAACGCGCTCATTGTCGAGAACGAGGCTGAGTGCGCGCTGAGGAGAGTAGAAAAATGGAGGCGCAAATTAAACGGCGGTACGCGATTATGGCAGCAGTGCTCTCAGAGTGTTAGATAAAAAGACTACGCTCTGCTTCCTGCTAAATTAAGGCTGCCGAGTAAAAGGGTGGATGCAACACAAAAAATGCGGAATCCAACACAAGTTCTATGAGCAGTTGCTTGAGGACGACATTCATGAATATTGATGACTCCTTTGTGAAAGAGTGAATGGAATATTCAACCAGACAACGACCTACTCAAGCCACAACTTAGGCGATCCCCATGCCATCGCCGGCATCCCTTAAAGCACGATCTAAGTTGCCACACACGAGAACAAAGTTTTGCTAATTGCGGAGAGATCCCGCGCCAAGGCGGGGACTTTTTTTGCAAGCCGATCACAATCTCCCCCCATCTTTCGGGGATGAGTACGTCAGCGTGCCTCCATGCTAAGGCATAACGTTGTTACCATGTCATGGGTATCTCGGAGAACAAAAGGATTGATTTCTCCCCCGTATGAATACCCCTTGAGAGAGTGAGCTGGATCAAAATGCCATGCAGGAAAGACGGCGCTACGGAAATCAACGCGCAACTCATAGGGAGCCAGAGTTGCGCGTTCATCCCCGTAGCGCCGTCTTTCCTGCATGGCATGTTGATCCAGCTCCTCACGTGACTGAATTCGGCGAATAGCAGCGCCGCGCGTTCGAGGCGCGCGGCGCGCTCAAAAGCAGGGGAACGTTCGGCGGGGCGCGTGCAACGTCTACTTTCCTGCACGGCACTTGATCCGGCTCATCACGTGATCGGATCTCGGCGAATAGCGGTGCGGCGGCACGTGGAAAACAGATGCGCAACTCTAGCTCCCGTAGGAAGCCTATACAGGAACTCTAGTCGATGTCATAACCTCAAAGAAGTCTGACGTGTCCTGCCTCGGCTTTACCAACCTCTTTCTGGGGGTAGCCGCGGCGGCCCGGCGCGTAACTGGGCGATGCATGCCGAGACGAATCTCAACGGCCGAGATAATTCGGTAAGCCTCCGCAACATCGACACAGACGGGCGCGCCTCGGCCCCCCTCTAAATCGTCGCATCGGTCGTGCGGCCGGAGCTTTCGAGCCAGGACTGACCCCACAGAGAATACAATAAAATTATTATGAATCTATACTGACTCATCCTCTGCTATGGGAGCATTAATTCGATATTCACTTAGTAAAATATTGTGTTTTTTTTTTTTGTTCACTATATTTATCTCGGTTTAACTTGGGCTCGTAGTGAACACCAGCTTAGAGAATTATGGGATTATTTGCCAACGATTGCATGCTTTTAGGTTTAAGACGTGATGCTCATTTCTCCAGGTTTTGTTAGGAGCGAGCTTAGGCCCTACCTCGGTCGTAAAAGAGTTTACTACAACCGATGTTGATTAGCTAGTTTAAACTTTGACGGATATATTAATTTGCTTTCTACACGCATTTCTTGCCTTTCTTTAAAGGGAATGATAATCTTCATCACCTCACGAACTTTCCAAATAACAGACAAGTTCTCAGGATTGAACTGACGAAACAAACCGGGGACAGTATCACAGTGGACTATGGTCATTTTAAAGTCGGCTCCAAAGCACACGGGTACTTACTCAGCATCGGCAACTACAAGGGTCCTCAAGGTAGGTATCGGCGCTTTCACCATGCCTGTCGTGCCGCCTTCTACGCTGCGTCAGTCGGTAAATGCGGGAACTTTTGGGAGCTGCTTGGAGGCAAACTCTAGGAAGTGGAAGCTTCCATCAGCGTGTGATGACCCTATTAGCCCCGAGAAGTTCGCGTGGCGCCCCCTTACGGCAAACCGGGGTGACGTCACGGCGAGGAGAGAATTTTTCCCCGACTCGCCCCGCTCGCCCTGTGGAGGCTGTGACGACGCTAGCTGTCGGCGCGCTCGTTTCTATTTAATTTTTTTTGCGTGTTTTTCGTAGAAAGTGTAAATTTTTATATGCGCCTTTATTGAGGCATGGCCTGTAGCTATAGGCGAAACTTCAAGCAACATTTTAAGCATGGTTGACAGGGCAGGCAACGCATAAATCACGGCTGGTATATGAAAATGAAGAAGTATGGCCACAATTGCAGGAGCATATAGATTTACCTCTCGCACAATAAATGTTGCTATTGGTCTGAATGAATTGGCAGCTTATGTATACTATTTTTTTTTGTATCTCTGCTTTTTTACACGATCGCCGAAGCAGAAAAGCTGCATGCTGCTCGAGCAACATGCTAAATACAGTCTGGACCATGGGGAGAGGATCACAAGTAAGACAGCCCAAGCGCAGGGGCAAAGTAAAAAAAAAAAGCAAGGAACATTTATTATATGCATTGCTTACATTTAACCTTTGCTGGATGCGGATAGTATTTCAACGGACTACACGGGTGGTATGTGTGGACTTGTTTATATCAACACTCAACTAATGCAAAACAAACGTAAGCGAAAATGTCTAGCTCGTTATTAGTTCCTTTAAGCCCTAAAATCGATATTTTACTTAAATCAAATTGTCTTGAAACTAAAATACCAGAAGCTTTTCTCACGCAGACTGTCGCCCCTCACAGGTTCCACATTTTCTGCTACTAGTGCTGCATCTACCACTGGACAAAAGTTCGAATGCTTGCTTTTACTCCTGTTTTCCCCTGTTGTCAGAGAGTCCAGCTGTAGGGAGTTTGGAGGCTGAGGAAGCTTTTGGGGACCTGCAGCAGTGTCTCTTTTAATTGTAAATGACAATTCAGACTAAACGGTGTATTTTCCGAATACCCAAGACTGGAATAAAGAATGTCACGAAAAAAGTATAAACATTCCAAATTCCGGCACTATTGCTGTGCATATTTTGGGCAGTTCAATACACATCATACAGGCAACTGGGGACAATTCGGCCGTTTTTACTGCTACCATACAAGCTAATTTCCAGTAATTGTGCATCTTCTAAGAAATATGCCTGCATACGTGTATAAACTATATAATTAATTCACGAAGAAACTACATTTATGTAAAATAACCCTGTTCCACGAGCACTTCAAAGATAATCAGACACATGGCCTTTAAAACATCTTCGAACCAGCGCATGCCGAGCGGCAGCGCAGAGTCAGGGTCGCGAGCTAAATTGCCGACCACCCAAAGGCCCATGATATAAATGTCACTTCAAATGCTTTGAAAGCGGGATGTATAATGTCGTCCTAAATCATGAACATGCGAGGAATAGAATTCCAGCGTCTGAAAAACTTGCCCCACCGCTTCACCGACCCCTCGCAAGCTTGCCTTGTGTCGTGTGGGCGGACGGGGAGGTTCATCAGCGGAATTGCCTCCGCCGATTCTTTCGGGATTTGTAACCCAATTTTAATAGTAAAAGGGACAAGCAAACTTATAAAATGTACGGAAGCACGTCAATATCGACCTAACTCAACGTCTTGTACACCGAGTAAACGAAGTCCAGCTCCTCGAAAAGCTTGCGGCACACAACGCCAAACCAGGAAACCGGTGCTGGGAAGCGAGCCGATGCAAGATCGCGGAGCGGAGTCCTCCCCCTGACGTCACGGTACACCTCACCCAATCAGGGCGCGGCGACCGCAGCGACGCTTGTGTTCGCTCTCGGGGCTAATAGGCTTATTTATGGTTGATGGTGCGAACCCTGCTGACTTTAGTGGGATGTGAACCAAAGTTCCTTGATCAAAGTCGAACGTTGGTGTAAACCGAGTCTGTCAAGTGCATTTGAGAACATAAAAGCCTGAACTTTTAAGACTCGATAGGCCATGTTACTTTCAACGTACTTTTTCTTAAACCCTTGAGTATCGTTTTTTCCCCGCGTGGAGAACGCAAATTTTGGCCTCAGTGACACCGTCGCATGCTTTATAAAGAGCGTTTATTTATGAAAGACACTATTGTAAGGGCAAAAATGTATTTGGGTTCTTAATTTTTTTAAGATTTAACATTTTTCTCGTATAGCACTTTTCGAGACACGGCACGATGCAGTGGAATCCCGTATTCGTACCTTAAGATCTCTCTTTCGAGAGCTCTCAGTCGTTATTTTTCGAATCGAAACTGTAGCTGTCTCGTTTTGAAAGTCGTTGAATACCCAGTTCAATACTCACTTCTAGATTTGAGTGCTCGCCATGAAGCGCGAAGTAGAACGACATAGATGCGCAATTCTGTAACAGCCAGGAGCATAACGAAGAAACAAATTGCATACGAAAAATAAATAAATGCGATTCAAAGCTATATAAAAAAATATAAAACATCGTTTTGATCGCTTGCTCGTTTGTGTTGCTACATGTAAAAATAGACAAAGAACTGGAGCGCAGTTGGGAATGGCAGTGGGCAAACCGAAAGTGAAATTACAGGGGAACATGGAGGAGTGTACACAGGCTAAGGGACAAAGAAGAAAACAGTCCGCTTTTATTTTCATACTTTCACTGTGCACACCACGTTTTTTGTCTCCAACAGCCGATGGTAAACAGTTCTGAGCACCAAATAAATTGCGGAAACGGGAGCCCAAAGCATAGAACGAGTGACAGCGCCCAATAGAACAAGGAAGGTGAACAAAAACTCACGTAACGACGAAATCTTAAAAAAAAAAAAGTCGAACAGAAAAAAAAACATATATACCATTGGCTCGTACCACGTAATGGCAGTAGGAACGCTATCTTTCACACCGTTGATAAAGAAGCACCACTCTACATCTTTTGTCGATTCTATAAAATGTCTGAGCTTTGGAGCCAACGTCTCTTGGCAAGGCCCCTATAACGAAGAAAAGCTAGCTCAGTTTAAGTGAAGGTTTATTGTCTTTCTTTTTTTTTTTTAAGGAGCTCATATGTTACTTAATGTTTTGCCACCACAAGTTAGTTCAAGTCACTGTAAACGGTTAAAGGGGCGATGCAACAATTTTTGTGCTTTGCTCAAATACCGTTAAGAACGAATCCCTGACGTTAATGACCTATACAAAACGCGTTCGTTTTTCACCCCACGCAATAAAAGTCTCCGAAAAAAATTAAAGAAAAACGAGCAGCGTTCACCCCCTCAACTCGCAGCCAGAACAAGCGGCCACATGATCTGGAGCCGATTATATGCCGCCAATGTTGATCATAGCCACGTGCTGGGGTTGGCAAAGCAAAGGACACGCGCTGAGTGCCCGACATTGTTATGGCTCGGCTGTTGTCGTCGTTGCAGCGATTGGACACGGGCCACTACCCGAATGCTTCTCGAGCTAGTAATTATCACGAGCCCAAATCAAGTGCCCACGCAATGCTCGGGTTCAATCTACGAACTGCATTCAAATATCGTTAATATCGTCATATCGTACTGTGATCCCCACGTTACGTCATCACATTTTGCAAAGTAGAGATAGAGTGAAAATGATAGCTTTTGTCCTTGAAAGTATACCGCATCAAAGGAGCATCTTGGTCAGTGGCGTTGCGTGCGAGTATCATTGAGTCCCACTTGTGCCAGCAATCTCGTGGAAATTGAAAAACATTCCAACTGAATATTGTTGCACCGCCCTTTTAAGGAGAGTTTAAAGAAAATAAAAAAGTGGGGCTTTTTCGTATATATTTATGTGCAATTTATCCAGAATTAAAGACAAAATGAGTTCCGTTTTTGCACAAATAACAAAACTACAATAACGGATAAGAATATTTTAATATTTATACGTAAAATGCATTTAGAGATAATCATTTTGATATATTTTGCGCCATTTTATTGGTAGTAGTTCGTTTGTAAATAATTAGTAAATGTGTCTGTAAAACGTGTCGATTTGAGATGTTTCGCAAATATTTTTTTATAGAAATTTTGAAGTGTAACCTTTAATATGCTATGCACATGTCGTAAAGTATTAATAAAATAAGTAGATTGAACTGTTGCTTATGCTTAGTTGTGAAATTGACGGTTGTGCAAATCACCACAGTGAAATCTTGGCAATCTCCACGCCTCGTACTTAGAATTGTTTATTTCGGGGGAAAAAACACTCACAGCATTTTCACTTAGGGCGTAGCTAATTTAGCTGATAAAATAATAAAATATATGTTGAAGCCATGTAAAAGCCAAGGACATCTCTTCAATATATATGTTTTTACATAGTTACAAAAAAATGTGTCGCGGTCATTCATTGCATTATGTAACAGGGATACACCTAGCACTCACTGCTGTTTTCCGCAAAATTTAGTTTACCAGTTAGTTCGGCTACAGGCATTCGTGTTGAATCGGATAGTAGATGTTAAAACCCAATTCAGGTTATAAAGATGCGCCGTTTAAGAAGATATAAAACGTAAAAACAAAATATGTCTTACGCAGCAGGATCTTTTGAGGTGTGCTGGTTCAATAGAACAGTTTATTCTATATTTGCGTTGTGTGAGTATATTGTAATCTTAGAGTGATAACAACCATTGATTCATTAACGCGGTGTTTGTGCCTGTGCAGGTTACGACGCTCTGAAAACCTACAACGGATACGAGTTCTTTATGGGGAAAAGCCAATTCATGGAGCCGTATTCAGGTTGCTACCCACCTCTAAGTGGTGGCTGGTGGTATAATGAGTGCCTCCGCTCGAATCTTAATGGTCGTAAACTACAATCCACTGATTCGAAAAATAAAAGGGGCCTTGGTATTACCTGGTTCAAAGATGGCGATCGAAATTCCTACGATGCCATCTACGACCAGGTGGAGATGAAAATAAGGGATGCCGATTTTGACTTCTGCACGGGTAAAATGGCAACATACTCTGATATCTGATTGTTGTATCCGCGAAAAAGTACTAATTTGTGTGGAAAGTATCATATAGTACGTCATGTAAATTTCTCACTTTTTTTTTTAATTTCGCTTTGAAAACTTTAAGAAAATGAACAAACCTTGGAAATAAAATATACTGCCCGAACACAACTGGCTTGTTATACTTTACTCAGCTCTCGCAAAGATCCAAACCAAAATTCACGAAATATCCACCACTGGGTTGGACCCCATTGTTCAATGCCAGGTGATTTGTAAGGGTGGTTTCATTTGAATTCGACAAACTTTGTCGGAGTGGGTCCTCAAATTTACCTGTAAAATATACATGGGAAATCCCAATTCCTATGATGAACAAAACTGTAGTTAAAAAAATAAACCTATCTAGTTTGAGAGAAAGAAAAAAATGTGAAACGCTGCCGGATGGAATGCGTGAAAATCGCGATTCGATTTTTGCTCAAGTTTAGACGGTCTCCGCAAAATATTGACTTCTTACCTTTTTAGTCATATTACTTTTTACACTATACGTATGCAATCCGGGCTGTTTTTAGAGTACGATTGTTGTCTTTTACCATTTTTGTTTATTTTTACATAAATTCGCAAACATATACCCACCCAGAACAATTTTGACTAACATTGGAATAGCTAAATCAAACAAGCGGTAAGGAGCTATATAACGAGACATATATCGATACGTAGCTGTTTATATAAGCTAACGATTGGTATATATTTTTGTTCATTGAAGTTATTGGACAAATTTTATTTCGCCCCAGATGTGTACAAAAAAGGAAAATATGCATATTTTGAGGTAAAGTTTCTAAAAAAAAAAAGTCGTTTTTTATTATCTTTTAACTTCTTTACTTGATAGGTGTAGTAAATACTGCATATAATTATGCTTGGGAGAAGAGCGTGTTGGTTTAAGTCATGGATGAAGAAAGAATAAAACAATTAAAACAGGGACAACACAACCACATCTTTCATGAAAGATGTGGCTGTGTTGTCCCTGTTTTAATTGTTTTATTCTTTCTTTATCTATGACTGCATATAAGTCTTGAGTGTACCATTTTTGTTGTATTTTGGTGACAACTAGTTAAATAAGCCAAAGTTTAGCCCGTCACTCAGTCCTTGGTTAAACTATGCTGGCTTCACCGCAATGCTACTGGCGGCCTCATTAATAACAGATGGTTTTAGAAGTCAGTTTATCATGGTGAGTTTGTTGTTATATATGCTCATGACAACTCCTGAAGCCTCTGAGGCACGCCAAAGGGGCCAAGATGAACCATTCATGTTAAAATTAACGTCGTCTGCAGTCTAGGTGAACCAGAGATGTCTCAAAATCTGGCAGGTGAACGTTCTTATCTGAGAAATTGCTAACGCACAGTGTGACATAAAAAGGTGTAATTTAAAAAGACACACCAAAGAATCACTCATGAAGGAGCTCAGTACCCACCTTCTGCGATAATGAAAATTATGTTTTTCTTTTATGAACACACGGACATCTTTTTTAACAAACATGAATTGTCTGAACTATACTTCGTCTCACCTTAGTATGGACTATTGTTAGCCGCGCGTGCTAAAAGCGCGAGCTAGTCGCTTTCAATGAAGCCGCGGCGGCTGCACGAGTGCTCGTGCAGCAAGTGCTCTAGCCAAGGCTGTCAAGGTTGGCCGCTCGCGCTAGCAGAGCCTTCGCGGTTAGTCCATGCTAGGCTGAGACGAAGTATATGTAGACCATTTTATTATGCTTATATGGATACCCATTCGGCACTCTTGGTTTTGCAAAAATCAATTACGTCGTTGTTGTTTTTTTTTTTTTTGTTTTTTTTTATTTTAGCCGAGTAACGTTTTGACACACTTTTCCACCTTCTGCACGAAATCCGTTGATGCCTGTATGTCCTCATCCGCAGACGAACGGAAGTTGTGCACCGTCGCCTTATGCTTCAGTATAGGGAGCATTCACTGGCGGCCATGTGTGCGCGACTGCTGAGCGCGTGCTGATGGCGAGCTTCCACAGTTCTTTTGCAACGTGCATTCCGCACCATCAAGAGTGCCGGTCTTAGCAGCCTATTAATGTGGGCTCGTTCTGAGCATGCGCTCTAAACAGCACCCACAAATAGGGCGTCCAGTGAATACTTCCTATAGCGGGAACGCGTGCGCGTGCAGCACCGGAGTCTGCAGCAGTAACTCTTCCAGAGCAAAAGCCTAAAACAAATGGCATCTTGCACGCGCGTTCGTCAATGCTTTATTTTGGTTATGTACTTCGAATATTTTATACGGGGAAGCCGTGCGCGTGCCGCGCGTGCGGCTGCGCGAGCGTAGAGATTTTTGTCACCGCACACGAAAAATCCACGGAACCCTTGCCATAAACAGCCTCGCTGTAAAACGCGCACGTCGCACGCTGCACGAAAATGTAAAAGTCAAGCACTTCGCGCTTAGCGTTTGCGCGTTTTTCAAGCTCTCACCAATTTGTGTTTTTAAGGCGAGCGATGTCTTCAGCCAGGAGAAGGAGCGACGACTCGGCGACGTCTTCGTGCGAAGGCTTCATGGCCGAGTGTGTCGTACGGAATAAATCCTAATTGTTTTGATCGGTAAAAGGTTTCTCTTTCGAAGCTAGACAGATTCCGCCAACAGCAGTTCTGAAAAAGAGGTCCCATGCCCGTCGTCCGCCGCCATCGCTTAGTGCCTTAGTCCGCTTCGTTGAGCCGTCCAGCCCAGCCCGCCACTCCCGCGATGCGACGCCATGTTGAGAATTACGGAGAAAATGCACAGAGTGCTTCCGGTTTCCTGAGCACATTTGTGTTTCAATCAAAAAGTTTTCACTTTTTTAGAAGCAACAAGAAATGGGTATATTTTTTTTTTCTATTTTTAATTTGAATGTGTGCGTTCGATGACGTACGACTTTGATTATATTTGGTGTGTGTCTAAACCATAGAGAACGGCACGTGACCACCAAAAGAGAGTGAGCGCGACTCAAATCGGCCACTATGGCCAAGAATCCGAGACATTCGCTTTAGTTCCATTGCGCGCCGACACGTGGCGTCTAAGCCCGAACGCAATAAAGGCTGAACTCCGTGGAGCGAATTATGCGACGAATAACTGGCGAACGCCGCCCCCCCCTTTCCCCCTCAGCAAATTCCTGCATCCGCCCCTGAGTGTGCTAGAATACGTGAGTAGTGTTCGGACCCATAGGTGTCGACATCGGCGCGTTACCCAGAAGGTGTGCGCATGCGCGGCAGCAGGCGCGTAAATATGAATTTTTAGTGCCGCTTTGGTAGAGTGCACATAGGATTTCTGATACAGCTACGACCTGCCAGCGGTCGCACCGCGGCATCTATTACACTGCGGCACGACCGTTGGCAACATGATGCGTCAATGTATTGGACGGTGCAAGCTACATTACTCTGCCTTCTGATAAAACAATTGCGACTCTAAAGAAGGGGATTGCAAGTTGTTTCAGCGTAAAATTAGTTGCGAGTTTCGGTTCGTCGGATGGTGAGTATTTTAAATAAAAATCCTCGTTGCAAAAGACCAAACATTAGATATTTGGCCGTAATATTTAAAACTCAAAAATAGCTTTTTTTTTTGTGTGTGTGTGTGTGTGTGTGGAACGAAACGGCACATACTAGAGCCCGACGTTGTTTTAGTATGTTTTGAGTACCCCAGGTTAACTTCTCTGTCTTCTTTTCTGTCCCTATTTTTATTCTTGCCTTTAATCAGCTCGCTTCACTTGTCACTCATTTTGTGTTCATTTATGCGACCAACCACCCAAGCGACGGTCGCAAAGAGATGAGTATCTGATATTTCTTCATGGCTGCCACGACCATCTGAGGACCACCCGACGTTTACTTCTAAGAAATGGCTTATAAGCCGTGACAATTTTCATCACGTGTTTTAACATTGAACATAACTCCAAAAACTGAGAGAACGTGGGCTGAACAAGTAATGCTTTATAAGATTCAAAGAAGAAAACGAGCAACAAGTTCACATCATTCAGAGCAAGAAACAACAGCACAGGTAAATCAGGCAAGGTAAAAGTTGTAATAGTTTACAACACGGAACTGAAATACATGGTTAAAATGTGCAGCGCATACATGGTTACAATGTGCAGCGCATTGTCCTTTTTTGGTAACTTGTAACTGTAACGAGTTACTTTTTAAAAATGTAACTTGTAACTGTAGTTCTATTACTTTTTTCTGAAGTAACGATGAAAGTAACGACGTTACTTTTGTCGTTACTTTGCAGTGTTTTATGAATAATATATCACTGAACGAGGGTGCAATTAAGCCATTCCTTGCACTTTCCAAATCGTCTATTCCGAAATTTCGAGTGTCAAGTTGGCCTTGCACAAAGTTGTGAATACGTTCTCTCTCGCGAGTCACGAACCGAATATAGCCACGTGTAGATTTTATGAAAAAATATCTAGTTATCTTTACGCACGCGCTTGTACTTCGTGCCTAAACACTACCATCTTACCGCCGTATTCAGAAACCTCACTCGAACTCAACTCAAACTGAAGGGCCCCTCCACTTCCTCGAAGAAGGCGCGAGGGCCGGCGTTGGCCAATCGCGACGGCGGATCCGTCCTCGCGATTGGCCAGCGCCGGCCCTCGCGCCTTCCTTGAGGAAGTGGAGGGGCCCTTCAGTTTCAGTGTAGTTTGAGTGAGGTTTCTGGAATTCGGCGGTTAGTGTCTTGAAGCACTACCTCTGCTGTGTTTTTTTTTCTTTTTTCTGTGCAAACGCTTTTTAATCGGGTGAATCAACCGTAAAACAATAATACACGTGAAGGGCACTGCGCATGTCTCGTATTTTGATTAGCGCCACTACTCCGCACTGCGCATGTTTCGTATTTTGATTTGCGCCACTACTCTGGCCTGGAAACTTTCAAGCACTAACTTGGAGAAGCAACTGCTGCTAAGTTACAATATGAAGTAAAAAGCGTACTTTTTTTAAATTTTATGCAATAAAACGATGTGAGGGGCGTTTTCTAGTTTTTTCTAAAATTTTGTTTTGTGT